TTTTCCTTATAGTACAACAACATAATACTCTATTCACTATGCAGTATTTGGTATCAGTAAAGCTTATCTTGTGTATATTAATTTAGAAGAATTTCCAATTTTAGTAACGTGTTTTCTTTATGTTTTTTTAAGCCCTTATAAATTTAAATCTTAATATTGCATTGTCAATACTATACTATGCAGTATTTGGTATCATTAAAGCTTATCTAGCTGTTTTAAGACGTTCTTTAACCGTATACAAGGTGGAGATAAACGACCAGACCAAGTGTCCTTGAAAGTGACATATATGTTTTCTGTCGTACACTTCACTAACATTTGAACGTACTTGATTTTGCTTCAAAAAGATTTTAACATTAAACCAGAGTCCTCTTGTCTATTATAAAGTGCTCTTAAGTCGGTCTAATGCCTGCTTTACTTACATCCGGACCACTTGACTTGGGAGGCTGGTTTGTTGATGATCTAAAGTTGATCAAATGATTTTGATGTAGGATGTTTTTATTTTGTATAATGGAGCTTAACGGTAGATGCATTACCCACATCAAAGAAAAAATAAAGAAAAGAAAAGAAAAACAATATGTAATTGACGGAAGAAAAAGAAAAAATAATAAACAAATCAAACAAAAGAAGGAAAGAAAATCACAGTGGAAGATATATATGCAATTGAAAATAAAGAAAACAAAATATGAACGAATAAGAGAAAGGGTAAATAATGAATAAATCAAAAGAACGAGCGAACGAAACAAACAAACAATTCAAGGAAAGAAAGAAGACTAAATAAATGAATTAGGTTGCATGTAATGTATAGCCAATTAATAGTGCGGTTCTTCTAAGCCTAATATATTAGTCATAACACTGAGCTGGCCATGATATGTTACTGACTGTCTTTTTTTAGCTCGTTAATATCGAAGGAAATGACTTTAAGGAAAAAATAGAAATCAGGTGCAGGAATAGGTACATTCAGTTCGGAGAAGGTCAAAAGGATGAAGACAGAAAAAATGGGCTGCATATTGACTTAATTTGAGAGCTTATTTGAAAAAAATAATACAAATGATACCGTTCAGTTTTTTTCTAAACACACCTCTACTTTAGTAAATGTGTGCGTTCACATATTGATTACATTATATAATCTATTTTCCAGCAATTACAATCGCCCGGTCATAAGATGCTAAGTCCTACAGATATTGCTATCATGTCGTTCTTCATATTCCTCATCGTCGTTGACATCGTAGGTAACATCCTATTGGTTTACATCATAATATCGACTCCCAAGCAGCAACGACAAGTGCGTGACATCATCGTGTTGAACATGAGTGTCGCTGACATCATGGTGGGCGTGTTCTTTTTCCCTCGTCACGTGTTACGTCACGCATTCACTTATCCCTATGGCGTGACCGGTGATTGGTTGTGTAAGTTCGTCACAGGAGGTAACTTTTCTTGGGTTGGTTCAACAGCATCTAGTTTTTCAGTCATCGTGCTGGCGTTTGAGAGGTATTTTGCAGTGATTTATCCTTTCAAGCAGCGCTTCACCCTCAAGAAAGTCAAGATGACAGTGATTGTTTGCTGGCTGTATGCTGTTATTTTCATGTCTCCTTTGTTCTTCGTTGTCGTTTACAGCAAGGCAGGAAATTCTTGTATCGAACACTGGACCAAGGAGTCGGAGGCATCAGCGTTCTCGACCCTGACGCTCATTTTTCTGCTCATTATTCCTGTGGCACTCATGGCGTTCTTATATGGGCGTGTTATTCGAAAACTTTGGTTTGGAAAAAGCCAATCAACTGTGCGCCCTGCGCAACATTCCGTGATCAAGTCACGCAAGACTGTCACGAAGATGCTCTTGATCGTGACAGTAGTGTATATCATTTGCTGGTCATCAGACCTCATTATTTACATGCTGCTAGCATCATCGTGGAATAGCAAAGATCCAAAATACAGTCTACCTGAAGCGCTCGTTCTTCTAAACTCGGCTGTCAATCCAATTATCTTCATTGTTTACAGTCAGCGGTTTCGTAAACAGCTCATGCGCATTCTGGGCCTTCGACGTAATGATGTTTCTACGCTAGAAGGGGATCAATGTCATAGCACGAGAAAGATTACTAATCAACCCCCAGAAGAGATGCGCGTTGAGACGCTCAGTAGTCATGCATTCTGATTTGACAAGAAAAACGAAGGATATATAAACCACACGTGTGCAGAACATTTGTAGAGCCTTGATCGCATAATACATTGACGAGAAAATGTTATGTCCTATACAACCGAGTTTTTAGAATTACATATTTTTCGTTCTGTATTCGATCATGTAATATCAGTGCTCGTCTGATTCGGATACAAGCTTTAAAACGAAACGGCATCTTGCAGCACATTTTAGGGATTTTCTAGGGTTATGTTTTGGATAGTGACACTGAGAAAGTTGCAAAGATGCAATTTTTAAAGACATTTCATTTGTGCGGCCCACCCAAGTATCTTGCATCTGGCACAATATTTTTCAGGAATTTCTGGGAATTTTCCTGATAGTGAATAGTATTGAGATAGTTGCAAAGATGCGCTTTTTAAAGTCATTCCATTTGTGCCGCCCACCCAATCAAGTATCTTGCATCTGGCACAATATTTTTCCGAAATTTCTGGGAATTTTCTTGATAGTGAGAGTATTGAGATAGTTGCAAAGATGCGCTTCATAAAATCATTTCATGTGTTGCCGTACGGTCAACCAAGGACACAAGACAGCGATGTGTACATTGATTTGTATATACCATGCATTTATAAACATGTATATAATAAACATTACAAATATTTATTTATAAACAGATGGCAGCAAAACGATTCTTCATAGAAACTGAGCTTTTTGTCTTGGAAATACCAACTACAAGTTGCTAATAATGAAGGACGTCTATTTTGACAACTAATTAGAACTGTTAATTTAGCTAAATTGTTAAGTCCTTGGACCAGCAAGTATTTTACAGATGCTGTGTGTATATGTCAGTATGTGGGTGTAAATATGCTTTTTTTAAAGTTAACGTTTTAAGAGAGAATTCTTTTCGTATTCAAG